TTCCTGTGCTCTTCATGCTGAACACAGAATCAGCGTTTATATTTGCCAAGTTCAGGGGGAGGATTGGTAAGGAAATGCTCTTCTGCTTTCACTTCCCAAAGCAGCGGTGGTAGAAATGTTTTTCTGTAAGGTGTTCGGCCTAGTTTCAGATCGTCGCAGAACTGGGTAGAGATGTTATCCCTTTAGGTCTGGGTGTACAGCACAGCGAAGAAATAAAATCAAAAAGGAGTGCAGAACTGGTAGCTTTGAACACACTGCAAAGGGGCCCACACAAGGCTCGGTGCAGATCTCAATGTGCCTTCAAAGAGGTGCCGAGCCTTAAAAATTTTGGGGATGTGAAACTGCCTGTGAAACTGCTGTGCGTTGAACTCATTTGTGGGCGGTTCTCTTCTGCGTGATGGTAGGACAAATGTCACAGCCCTCCCGCTTTATAAAATATAAAGTTCTATGTGGAGAGAGGGGAGGAATTTGCAAGCAGCAGCTTTTATAAAACCAGTTTTCTTGGGCTCCACAGTGATACAGACCTAGTAGGTGGGCACCAAATGTGCAAGGACGACTGCAGGTGTCTTCTCTGGGCTTCAGGCCGATCATGGCTCTGTTGTTCAGGAACAAAATTGTCTTGGAAAGCAGCGAGAGGTTTGGGGGTGCCCGGAGCTCACTGCTGGGCCCACTGCTCCCCAGGGGAGACGAGGAGGAGGCGGCAGGAGGGGGAAAGGAAATCTCTGGTTTCATTTTCTCATCCAAAAAAAGTGTGATTTCCTGGGATGGCTGGAAACCCTACACATAAAGGGCTCCAACTGGCTGGTTTGCTCACAAGGGAGAATTCCACTTTTTTTTTTAATCCCTTCTTAAATGCAAATGCTTTGCAGCATATTTGGGAGGAGAGTCCTTTCAGCAGATGCATAGGTTTGCTGGATTTTTTCACTCATTAGTGGGCTCGCCCAGACACATAGGTTTTATTGTACACTTTCTTTAAAGGGTGACTGATGAAACTGAATGATGTATTCAGGCTCTTCCTCCCCCAGCTTCCCTCCTACCTTTACAGCAACTCACCGAATATGCTATAGCACAGGCATTTACTGTTTCAGAAAGGGCTCTTATGCCAAAAGCTGTTCAGATCTGCAGTGAGAAATCACCCAGAATGAGAGCAAAAGCTAATGTAAACTCTAGGCATGAAGGTATCTGTGTACTGTGACTGTTGGAATGTTGGAAACTGCTCTGCAAATGTTGACTCTGATTGTTAAAGCAGTGCCACACGCGTGGGTTTGGATGTCAGAGCACTGAGCAATAACCCATGTGTTTTACTTTCTCTGAACAGTGATTTTTCTTGCATGGCTTCTTTCAATATTCTTTCTGTATAACCTGGACGTGCGGTGAGGAGGTCCCGGGCTCGGCATTAGCGGCAGCGCGTGCTGAACCCTGGGCAAGCCCTGCAGACAGGAGTGCCCTGCTGGTGGCCGCAGGGCAGCGGTGCCCAGTGTCTCAGGCCAGGCCCCAAGTCCCCGGGGCCACGTGTGGCTGGAGCCAGGGCCGAGCCTGGGACACATCCCAGGGCCGATCCCGCTCCGTGCGGGACCCCGGGGCGGCCGTGCCACGCGGGCTGGAGCTCACGGCCGTGCTGCACATCCAGCCACTGCACCTCAGCGTTTGTGGCTCAACCCCCAGTTTACTGCGTGGTCCTCAGTGCAGCCACCAGCCTCCGTATGCCAAAGCGTCATTCCCTTTGAAATGGGGAGAATCCTGTTATCCCGTATCCCCATGCGCAGGGCGTACCTCGAGGACAGAGCCTGGTTGTGCTGAAGTGGTTGGTGTCAACGTGCGTCTCCGCTGGGTATTCCTGGAATCGGCTGATTTATTCTGGATCTGTTGCGAGTGTTTGTTGGTTACAAGCAAAAAGTCTCGTAACAATGAATCATAAATTCAGAGTTGACTGTAAAATACTTCAGACGCCGCTGTTGCTGCTCTGCAACACTGTTGTGCTGTCTTTGTAAACCAACCTAGGCAAAACCGGCTGTAAATTCTCCCTAGATTTAATCTATGCAGTGAAGGGGATTGTGCAGGTAACCTATGGAAAAATTTGACTGCCTTTTCGTAGGATTTTACGATCCTCTGGATGCTGAACTGTGTAATGATCATATACACTACAGCTCCACTTGCAGCTTTGTGCTGGACATGGTTTAGAGTCTTTCTCATGTTTCTTGACCCTTCTTTCATGCTGCCTTGCCTCTTTTTTTTAATACATTTGTTTTCAGTAAGACGTTCAACGCTTAAAAGTACCAAGTTGCTTAGAAATAACATTAATAGTAAGAAGCGAAGAAGAGTGATTTATCTCTTATGCAGATCACGTTGCATTTTACTATTTGTTTTTCCTCTTGCATCATTATTAAAAATATGTAACAATGTAATAAAATTCATAGCGCTCTTTATCATGCAAATCTCTCAAGACACCTTAGAATAAAATCAATAAGATCAGAATCAAAATCAACGTAGTTCATCCATGGGTTGAATTAATTCTTTTTTCTTTTTTTTTGAGCAGAGCCAGGCGAGGAAGGCTTTTTTATTATTTTTAATATCTTCTGCTCTTCAGCGCTATCCCTCACCCCTCTTTTATTCATGCCGCAGTCAGTGTCAAAATGTCAATGACATTTTCAGCTGCCTTGTGGATATTAGCAGTGTTGATAATGCCTCGTGCTCACAGACCAGCATTGCTTCTGTAGAGGCTTCTTGCTATTTCATCAGATAGGGGGGAGCAAAAGCTTATGCTGGAGTAGGTTGACTCTTTGATATCGATGGGAAGAGATGGGGGGTGGGGAAACCATCAAATTAACTCATAAAAGCTTTATTTACAATGAATGGACTTTTTTTCCTGTCTGTCATTATCATCTTGTCTGTAACCCAGTGACCCTGATTATCATGAAGCTGTTTACAAGGTTTAGGTTAATTGGATTTCTTTAACTATTTCCCAGAGCTGTGAGGAGCACTAATTCACTGCAGCGGAGTTCAAGCAGCGTAACACAACTGGCTCTGCAAGGAGTCAGGCTTCTTCCAAAAGGAAGTCATTTTATTCCATAGCACAGCAGCATGTACCTTTCAGCTGGTTTAATATTATATCTTTCATGTGTATGTGTTTAGTTGCCACTTGTGTTGTCAATACACAAATTACCTTTTGCACCATCAGCTTGAAGTTATGCATATTTTCAATGAGACAGGCTTTGAAATGCTTTTTTTTCTTCAGGTCAGTAGCAGCTTCACATGTTTTTTACGTGAAGAATCATGGATAAAATAGCTGTGCATTGCATGGCTGCCTAAATAAACGAGACAGGAGGATGTAGCTGGGTGAGATCAGGACAGTACTTGTCTGTGCTTGGCTTTCATCTCCTCGGGATGCGCGCCTGCTCTTTAATGGCACAACATTGCACCCTCCAGGTGCAAGCTGTAATTGCAGGTCTCAAGCTAACCAATTTGTTTTATGAGGGCTGTGTTTTTGTGAGCAAACCTTCCTAAATTCTCCTTTCGCATTACTCACCCTTTTCTTCTCTTCTTTTTCCAGGCTTCTGTAGGCTCTGAGAAGCTGTTTTCCCCTGCAGCAAATAAAGGTAAGTGATTTGGAGAAATTCTTTCCTTATCTTAGAGCAAGAGATTTGAGTGCATGAAACTGTCAACAACATTGTGCAGATAACAGGACACCAGTTTTGTCTGTGCCGTTAATTTTGCCGCCCAGATTGTCACAAAGAGGAGCTTTGCAGGCTCGCGATGACTGAGGTGAAACCCAGAGCCGCGCTGTCTGGGTGCGGGGCCGCAGGTCGGGTTCATAACAAATGTCTTGAGGAGGAGGATTACTAACAAAGGCAGCATCAGCCTTTACTGGAGGGGGATGTGCTGTTTTCCTGTAATACAATCAAATCCTCATTGCCTTCCAACCGAGCAATGTTTCGGTGCTCTCTGTATTATTCTCACAAGGACTTGCACGTCTGTGCTGCCAGTGTGCACAGAGCATTTGTGTCTGCACGTCTCAGTTCTCCACGATGAGGTGGAAGGTGCTCGGCATGTTGCAGGATTTCAGCCTCCAGCTCCCACTATTACTTTTAATTGAGAGTTACCTGTGATACTCACCGGGTGTTGCTAAGAGACTGGGCCTGTTAAGGTTCCCTTTGGGAGTTACAGTGACATATTTCTAAATACACTGAGCCCTGCTTTGAGGGCTCAGTCTGTCTCTAAAACAAGGCAGCTCTCTAGTTTGAAAGACAAAATGTGGTGTGTGATTGAAAGCATTATGCTGGGAATGGCTCCACTTTGTCATGCAGGGAGGTTGACGCTCCTGCTCTGGATGAATTGCAGGCTGTATAGCTGTTCTGCAGCGTTCCGGGTACCGAGCTACGGAATAAATCAGTGCAGAGCAGTAATGAATCCTGGGGACATACAAATGCCTTGAAGAGGGGAGATGAGACCCGTTAATAAGAAGTGATGAAATAACCTTCTCGCGTTGTTTCAAGAAGGCCAAGAAAGGAGTAATTTGCAGTTGTGTAGGAGTAGGTGCTAGCCGTGGAAAGGCGTTTGGGTTGCTGCGTGCTCCTTCACCTGGACCCAGGCCCAGTTTGTAGCTGTGTTCTTCAGCAGCGCCAAGCGTTAGGGGTTCTGTGGCTTTCCAAGCCTTGCAAATTTTCCATGCCAAATGTGGAAACTGATGACAAGCCCATTATGTTATTATATTTGCAGATATTTTTACAAAAGCGTGCAGCTTTATCTGGGGGAAGGAGGGAAATTTGAACAAATGGTGGGGAAGAGCATTTATCTTCTCTTGGCCTTGGCTCACTGATATGGCAAACCAGATTGCCCATACAGCACTGCTTCACAAAACAAGAGTCTTGCCATCCTGAGCAAATGTGTGGCACAGAGATCTGGTATAGAGGCTTATGCTGAAGTGTTAGCAGCTTTGTTGGCTCTTCTTGCTGAAGCCTGAGATCCCCTACTCCTTCGTAGCTCTGCAGCACGAGTTTTCAAAATACTGCTTCATCATAAAGTTAAATGTGTGAATGGCTGCGAATTTGCTGTCTTGAAGTCTGTGTTCACTGCTGTTTACATGCCTGTAACTCAAGACTGTTCTTGTTTAGTTTGCAGTGGGTAGAGCTATTGCCAACTTCGGGAAGGTTTGGGTCCAGATTATACTCTTTGTCTTGGTCTTGTCTTTTCTTCTCCCACCTGTGCTGGTGGAGCTTGCTGATGGTGCTGGTCTGCATGAGCTGGATTGTGGGCCAGCTTTGCTGGGGCGTACCTCCACTTTTGGCACAGTGCTTGTGTTGAGAGACGAGATTAATTTGCCTCGGCAACATTTTGTGCAGAAACCCAAACAGTGCTAAATCCTAACCCTAGCCCTGTTATCACTCCTGCAACAGAAGAGCCAGAATTTCTTTCTTGCACATGCAAATGAAAGCTGCTCTGACTCGACCAGTCTTGGAGATGCCATATGGCAGGGAGAAAGTGACTTTCAAAGAGTTCCGCTTAAATTCCTTTTCCAAGATAAGAGCGTTGATTTAAGGCCCCTGTTTGTAAGGACCGGAGCCATGGTGACTGCAGGGAAAGGATTAGTTAAACACAGTTTCCTGATGTGCACACACACAGGGCGGCACGTGCGTGTTGTCTCCTGTGGGCATTTGCACTATGCCCCTCTTTTGTAGACACTCAGGGCCTTTTTGGAAAGATATTAACTGGCAAATCTGCAGCACCCATGCTACAGCGTTTATTGGAGGTAAGCGGGCTTTTAAAATACAATAAAGTGATTCATTGTGTGGTGCAACACCCCCTATTTTTCCACGGAGTTTCCCTGGGGATGTGTTTGGACCTGTGTATTTGTTTTATGCTGTCCTTGCGTATCAGCAGCTTAGTGGTGCAATTAAGTATTAAGACGGACGGTTTTCACGTATTTGAGCCTGTAACAGCTGTAAAACGTAACCTTTGACCATATTTCACAGCCCCACAAAAGGCCGTGGGAGCAGGGGCTTTTGTTGGCTGCTCTGTGCTCACCTCCTCCCGAGCCAGCGCGGCGGCGGCTCCTCCGCCACCAGCCCCTGTGCGGTGCCAGATGCGCCCATAGAAGTCCCCGCCCGGGCACGGTGGCTATTGTGCAGGGAGAGAGGTGGCCTGACCCAGGCGACCTCAGCGGCCGCAGCTGCGGAACCGGCTCAATAGGGGCTCTCGGAGCTGCGTGCGGAAAGAGAGAGTAAATCAAGTAAATCCTCCACGTGAGGACACGGCCACTAAAAGCGAAAGCGGAGAGCCGCGATCCGCTGCGCTCACGGGGCTTTGTTTCCTCCCGTAGGAAAGCATTTGTTCCGCAAACTTGTGGCTGCGGTGCAGGGTTACAAGGACGTTGCCTGCCAAGGGCCGGGTGTTATATCCCCCGGCTGAATAAATCAATACACAAATAATAAAGGTCTGTTTGTTCCTTCATGCCGTTCCCTTCCTGGGGGACCTCCCTGCCAGGCTTTGTGTTCTCCTGAAGGGCAAGTGCATTGCAGGGTCCCGGAGATCCGGGCGAAAGCTGCAGCTCCATCCCTCTCCCAGCAGCAGGCTGAGGGAGATGATGGTGGCCAAGATGAGGGCAGGAGGGTTTGTGCCCTGCAGAGGTGAGGGGCACCTCCACCCTATAGCTGGAAGGACCGCAGCCCGCGGGTTGTAGTGATATCTTCAAGCGTTGGAGATCATTTGTGTTTCAAGGAGCTCGGGGATGTGTCCCAGCTGCTGCTCCCCTCCACAGGAGGGTCTCCCGGTGAGGTGTCCCTGCGTGGGCCACGTGGCCTGGCCGTGTCTGCCCCACGGCCGGGACCTCACGGGCAGCCCAGGCCGAGCGCCTTGTGGGGACCCCAGGGAGACGTGGCACGGAGCGAGCAGGGTAACCCGGCTGCCTGGGCGCACAGAAGCTGCTCTCCAGAGACTGCCCCGGGCCGGCTGGGCGCTCGCCGAGCTCCCTGCCTCGATTTCCCCCTCCTGCGAAATGTGGAGTCGTGCTTGTCAGCCTGCTATGCGGAGAGACTTAATTAATGAATGTTTATCAAGCGATTATCAAGAGATCCTTTTAATGAGAGATTCCATAAACAGTGCAAGGCTTCATTTTCACGGCAATAATAAACGGCAGTGAAAATAAATCTTATCCTTCCCCCGCATATGCACCCTCCCATGCCCCCCTAGGAACAACGACTGCTTACCCTCCGCTCCCGCTTCTCCCCGGGTTTCCAGGCGGAGGGCTTTGAAGTGCTATCTTTCATCAGGAGCTGTACACAGCCTCAAAGCGCTGCAGCTCGCGGCCTGCGTCTTATCCCCGTGACAAGAGGGAGGCGAGCTCTCCCGGCACGCGGGTCCTAATTGTGAGCCCTGGGACGCGCCACCGCCACCCGCCCCAGCGGGCCAAGGCAGCTTAGGGCCCTTTGAAGTTGCCTGCCTTTATTATTATCTGTCCTGTTGACCACAAAACTGCGCCTTGGGCCAGCAAGAGAGATTGCTTTTTCAGAGACAACGCCGAGCCGACAAGCACATGCAAACCCGAGGAGACCCCTTGCTCCTCCAAGACCAGTGCACCTTAATTTTGTTGCCTTAAGGCTCTCTCTCTCCTTTTGCTCTCTTCTTCTTCCCTCTTTTCTTCCTTTTTTTTTTTTTTAATTCAGCACTAAACTGTCACACTAAATCATTTTAAAAGCTGCAAATTTAAAACCTCCAGTGTAGGACATGCTGTTAAAACTGATGCTTATTGCTGCAAGATGCTGCAGGAGGTGGAAGGAGAGGCAGCGGGGCAGGGACAGGAGGGTTGGGGCTGGCTCTTGGACGGAGCCAGGCAGAGCAGGAAACCATCCCAGCAAGGTCCACATAACGTTGAGCTGCTTCTGTGATCAAGCCACCTTCAGAGCCTCGACATCACTGTGCTGCTCTGCGCTGGGTGAAGGTCACCATAGACACGGAGCAAACAAGTCTCACTGTACCCAGTCAGACAATTAGCTGTATTTTACACAAATAGAGGTCGGGAGCGATACCATAAATTTCTCCACTTTCCTGTCTTGGGTCCATGGCAGGATCTGAAAGGGAGAAAAAACAAGGATGCCTCCAATGTCTTGATCTCAGCTTTACCCTCAGGTTTTGGTTGCGTTTGGATGAGGTAACCATCCTTTGCTTTTTAACTGCTTGGCCTATCAGAACTTGACAAAGATGGTAATTTACAGCTGAATGTTTGGCCAAGAGTCCAGTGTAATTACAGGCATGCAAAAACTTCCACAGCAGCATGTATAGTAATAAAAAAATAAGTACTGCATTTATTTAGATAGCAACTACATTGCTATGATTTATACAGCACTCAGGATGCTCTGCAGCTGCTCTCCTCCCCGTGTTGCATCTCTTGTGGTTTTATCACAGTCTTACAGTATGCTGTGTTTTTCATGGCGCGCTGCACCTCAGAGGGCTGCATGAGAATCTGCGTTTTAATTTCGTTCATTTTCTAAGCAATATTTTAGTCGTCTTAGCCACAGAGAAGAGCCTGGTTCTTCTGGGCTTAAAAAACAACAGGCATTTGTAAAGAAGCTCAAATACATTGTTTTTAAACCTCATTTTAAAC